GTGTGTGTGTGTGTGTGTGTGTGTGTGTGTGTGTGTGTGTGTGTGCGTGCGTGCGTGCGTGCGTGCGTGCGTGCGTGCGTGCGTGCGTGCGTGCGTGCGTGTGTGTGTGTGTGTGTGTGCGTGCGTGCGCGCACGCGCGTGCGTGTGTGTGTAAATGTGGAAATCTTGGTAGTTGTAGCGTTATGCATCGTTCTACTCTTTGCTGAGGTTGTTGGTATTTCGACCAAAATTCAGGAAATTGTAACGGCTGTTTTAAGTCGTTCTGTAAACTTCTTGCTAAATTGGGCGGCAATCCCTTCAGGCGTAGCGCATAATTTTCTTTGAGTTTCGTATTCTCCGAAAGCTCCTTGTTGACATAGGTACAAAACCAGTTTGTTATTTGTTTCACTATAATTTGCAAGTCTTCCTGTTGTAGCGAATCCGAAATCGATAGTCCAATCGTCTCTTTGTTGAATGTCATCATTAGATTGTATTTGTTGACACTCCATTCGTTGTTGTCTATTCGTAGGTACATCTTCATTGGTCGCACTAGTGCTGCCCACCAATCTTTTGTTGCTTTGATACAGTGGTGTGCCTTGTTCGCAAAGTACGTTATTTCGCCTTTCGGGATCCATAATAGCAGCGTTCTACGAGTTTTATTTTGGCGGATGTAAAATTTCCAAGACATGTGAGACACATCGGCAATTTGCTTTATCGTCTTCGGAGAGAATATCTCTAAGTGTTTGGTGATTATTGCCGGGAGATAGATAGCTAAGTAGACAAGTGATTGTAATTTGTATACTTTTATGTTGGTGTTTTCGGATAGTTTCGCCAAATCTTGAATTATATTCCCACGTTTTGTTGGTTGATATGTAGATGATATGATAGTGGAGCCGTCTCGTTCCAGAATGCTTACTGACGACTTTCCAAGGCGATTTGCTAGAGTTAAATAGTCGATATTTCTTTTTGTAAGAATTGAGCAGCCTTCGTCACCGCTACTGTCGCCGATGGCGATGTCTGTTGTTAGCGAGTTCTTCAATTCTTTGCGTGATTATTTCGGGAGAGATAGAACGAATTTGGTTTTCTTCGGCTCCGTTTGCGGCGTTTCAAGGAGTACTTGTACCAGCCCCCGCTTCGGATTCTTTGGAGTCGTAGTCATCGTCGGGCTCGTCCATGTGATCTGCGTTGCGGGTATAGGTGAAATTGGTACATCTTCGTCCTCCTCTTTCCCTGGCAATGGAATCACAACTAGGTCGTCGTCGCTGTAAAGTTTTTCCGGGGCATGTTCTTGGGACATATTACTCTATATTGCTATAATTTCTTCTTCGATTTCACCAAGCGCAGCGTTGGAGATAATATGATACGCGACTTGCGGTTGTTCGTACATAACGAGTACTATACAATCGTTACCTGCCGTGCACCCTTTTTATACGTCCGGCGTTGACTTCACTGCCCTATAGGGACTTGTTTAACGGCCGTCTTTGAAAAGTTTCTCTTTTTAATTGTGTTTGTGTGTATATATTTAATTGTGTTTAACACATTTAAAAATAATATATATATATATATATTATTTTCAATTTGACTGCAAGGAAATAAAACAACATGTCACATTGAATAACACTGCCAAATACTAGTTTCTCACCATTGTATTACATTTATACATAGCACATGGGCAAAGGAATTTAATGCATTTTACTGTGCTGCTATACTTATAAGAAGGCGGCAAACTAACCGGTGTAAATAATGAGTCGTCTGACCACGGTAGATGCAACCGAAGTCAACTGAAGCAACTGGGTGCGACGCCTTCGGCAGATAAAATAGTCTGCCGAAGGTCAGTGCACGACCCTGTGTAAATGCGCCATTACTCTACGAAAACGTGACTTATGAAAAAATGTTACATGTAGCTTTTATATTTGGAGAAAATGCCAACCACTTATTTTGTAATAAATAACTTTAATAATAAACTAATTCATATCTCACGTTAAACCTGTATTATACGTGCAGATGTACAGTCAAGAGCACATCACACTTGACTCTTTGGACTTTTGACTGCTCTTATCTCTATGCTCTTAGCTCATATGAGTGAATTTAAATATTGAATGTCAAGCTTGACGTGCTCTTCACCCGTAGGTACTACAAAGGAACATGAAGATTTGTAAAAATTACTAGTATATAATAAACAGGGACCAAAACAGTATACTTAATGATTTTGTTAGTATATTTAATTTTTGTGAATATACTTAATTACAGACAGGATCTGCTTACTTATTATTTAATTATTACTGCTTGTTTACACAATTTTATTGTTTTTTACTAATAAATATCTCCTTATTTATGTCGAAGTATGAGTACAATTAAAATTGAGTTTCAATTTCTAACCTACTTAAAAATCGAAACTCATTTTTGAATATGTCCTTTTCATTTCACTTTTAAAACATTTGATATTCGTATGTCATTGATAAAGCACTTTAGCACCATATGAGGATGGAAAAAATAAAGGAAAGGCGCTGCCCTATCTACGGTATAAACGTACCTACCTAAACCAAAATTGTACCACACATATGGCGGATTTAGTGCGGGAATACACGTCCGATTTTTCCATCCGAGTCGAATCATAGGAGTATATATGTATATATCGGAGTATAGGTCAAGAGCACGTCAAGCTTGACACTTACGATTTAAATCTAACTCTATGCCGCTGACGATAAGAACGGTCCAAAGTACAAAGTGTCAAGCTTGACATGCTCTTGAATGTACCATAATATAATTGTATGAACACTCAATACACGTCACGTGACGTCATTTATTTGTCCAATTTCCCACACGTAGAAATACTCAAACCCCCAAATGAGTTAGTTTACAACTCCATTCCCCACAAAATCCCAAATAAAATTTGTAATTCCCCACGCATTTTATTAAGTAGCCTAAAATCGCCTTTTCGTATTTCAACCGTAGCCTAAATATCGCGAAGTCACCGAATACTTTTTTAGTCGCCGCGCGACCCCTCCAAGTAGCCTAAATGGCGAACAAATCCCCTTATCTGAGACCACAAATTACTATATACTTGAGACCACTGTTCAGTAACTACAACTTTTGACAGGTGTCAATGTCAAATATGGAAAAATATTTGTTTTTCTTCAAAATCTGTCAAAAATTGAAGTTAGTGAATGAAAACGATGGAGTCAATAAAAAGAGGAAAATGACGGAAGTTTGGAGTGAACTATGTGTGAGACTACCACGCAGAGGTCCCGGGTTCGATTCCCAGGCCGAGAGAAATATTTGTATGGCCTACACTTTTTCTCTCATGAGTTTGGGTGTAATTTGTGGTTGTCTATGTGCGTGTCCATGGCACCCGTTTTCCCCTGTGCAGGGCCATGATTGTGCGTCAAAAAAAAATTAAAAAATAACTAGTAAAATGTTTTTTTTCGCGCTTGTGTATTCATTAAGGTAGATTCACAAATGAACAAATTTTGGCAATATATGTGTATATTGCCAGAATTTGTGCATTGTGAATCCAACTTTAATCTACTTTTTCTAAGCGTTTCCTGAGTTTTCCTTTATTCTCGTCTAATTTACACTAAATAAAACTGCAAAAGATATTTCTAAACGTAGAACATAATAATACATTGGGATAGGGCCTGGCCACTTACATAAACAATATTTAAAAAGTAATTACAACATTTGAAAATGGAACTCTGTGAACACTGTGTGATCAAAACAGACAGGCATGTGACATACCATGAGATTCGGGCATCTTTAGGCATAGGCATGAGTCAAATACAATCAATGCTACACAAACATTTGGGTATGAAAAAGCTGTGCTCTCGGTGGATCCCACACAATTTCACTGAGGCTCAAAAAACGGATCGCGTCACGTCACGTCACGCAATGCCATGCTTACCAGATTCAATGAAGGGGCGTCAAATTTAGTGTGGGACATAGTAACAGGTGACGAAACATGGATTTATAGTTACGATCCCATAACAAAGTAACAATCGAACTTCCTTTTTTTAATAAAACTGGACACGTGGCTACTGTTGCTTTGGAGAATGGTTGTACCGTGAATGTGATTGGTACACGACCATTTATTTGCCGGAAATTATTGACAAACTCATTAAAAATAGCCGTAAACTCCGTATCATCTTGCACCACGATAATGCCAGTTCTCACACGGCCAGACACAAATGAATTTTTGAAAGGTGAACAACGTTGACCTTATGAGCCATCGCGCGTATAGTTCCGACCTGGCACCTTGTGACTTTTATTTATTTCCAAAAATTAAGAACCAGTTACGCAGTCAACGATTTTCATCACCTGAAGAGGCTGCCGAAGAATATGAAAAATATGTTTCAGAGATTGTCATGGAGGAGTGGCATAAATGTTTTCAAAATTAGTTCATTCGTATGAAAAAGTGCATTAACGCCAACGGAGAATATTTTGAAAAACAATTTTATTATTTATTTATTTATTTATTTATTTACTTATATACTTAGAATAATAACGCATAGAATGATAGTTTCATATCAAACGAACTGTCACAAGTGAGGCAAAAACCAAATTCATGTAGGCGTAAGCAACTTGTAACTACGCTCGTCGGCACGCACACAAATATACAAATAATGATGCCATGGAATAACATTTCCCTCAAAAGTGGGGAAATTGTATCTTGCTTAACTCATCATTAAGTTAAAGGTGCCTACAGATTTGCCCGACATTGTCGATCAGGTGCCTACAGATGTGCTCGGTTTTGTCGATGAAAAACGAATATAGCACTTATTTGTAAATCCAAGATGGCGGACACGATTTTTCAAAATATGCTATATGGGTATCCTTTTCGAGGTATTTGGGGATGCTCATTACGAATATGGCACTCATTTCTAAATCCAAGATGGCGGACACGAGTTTTGAAATAAATGCAATATGGGTATCATTTTCGAGGTACTTGGGGATGCTCATGACGAATATGGCACTCATTTCTACATCCAAGATGGCGGGCACGATTTTT